GGCTTCCACTCGCTTTCAGGTCCCCTGCATATGATCAAATACAATCAGGTGGGGAAGGAATGGCACTGGCGGCTTTATTGAATGCATTGGGGTTCTGTATGCACTTCCAGAATTGTCCTTCTGTGCAGAAGAGGAAGGTGCTAGAATGCCAAAATGAAAGGAGAGACTGTACCATTTCGCAGTGGATTCCGGCTTTGAATCCTCCACTTGGTGCAAAGATCCCTGCAGGCAGACAGCTAGCACAGCATGGAGCAAGGTCTGACCTCAGCTGTTTGCCTGCTGTGCTGGTTTGCTGCGTGCAAGGTGTTCGAGATGGACAGAAGCATTTGGAAACGTGGGCAGCCATCTGCACAGTCTATTATTGTACCTCATTGTGCAACCACCTCCCTCTGCTGAATGTGCAAACTAGGCCCAGATGACAGTCTTTCAGTTCCACTTTGAAGAGCAGATGGAGGTCATGGGGTCACCCACTGTTCTCCAAAGTTGAACCTCTAGACACTTCTATATCCATATCTCTAGGGTGGCAACTACTGGGCTCAGATGTAGGCACAGAATAAGTTAGCAAATTGATTTATGATTTGCATTTCTGACTAAAAGGAAACCCCTAGTTTTTTAGGCACACACACATACACCCCTATGTAGAAAACCTAACTGAATTTTCCACCCCGCTGTGCAACTTCTGAACTTTTACCAGGTGTTACCTGTATTCTTCAAGTCCTTCTCAAACCCTTAAGGAGTGGGTGTGGGCCCTTATCTTTCTCTCCAGTGTTCTCCAAATGGCCATACCCCCTTCCCATGGTCCCTTTTCCCCTGGTTGCCGATTGTCAAATGGCTTGCCAGATTTCTCTATTTTTAACCCTATTCTAATAATGCAATTCTAAATATTTATAAAGAAAAAAGCCTTACAACTGCCCATCGCTGGAGTGCAGCCTTTGAAACCTGGGAACTTCCCATGTTGCCTAGGGAATATTAGGAATCCTAAAATTTTGTTCTTTCTAAACATATATAGGTTTGTACCCCAAAAGCCTAACATGCCTCTCTTCAGGCTTATTTACTCAGACAGTGAGCCTTAAGCTAAAATATGCTGGCATTTTGGCCTTGTGTCTTTGATCCTGTCCACCACTGGAACATGGGTCTGAGAGCTTCTCTGAAATTTTACTTGGCCCTTTGGCTGAAAGAAGCTCAATACCCCTGCTTTAAGGGCTAGAAATGCCATTTTCTTTTTGTTAAGTTGCGATTTAGAGATTTAGACTACTGTACCTAATACTGAGTTCTGGGCATGTATGCTGTCCCCTCAAAATGCACAGAGCTCTGGTTATAAATTGTTGTTAACGATAGTTGCATCTTGGTGATACACATATTGGTGACGGGAGGCAGCAGCCCAGCTGGCCAGTCCTTGTGTTTATTTTATGCCAACAGTGGCTGTCTGAAGGCGTTCACCGTCTCAAACCACGTTTCTGGACCTGGTGTCTTCTGGCTATGTTGGACTCAGCTCCCCTGCCTTCCCTCCAGCATAGCCCATGGCCCAAAGTTCCATAGCCTGTGGGATAGAATAGCTTTCAGTGCTCATTCAAATCAGGCGCTGCAGGTTGGACCTATATCCTTTGCCTTATATAATTGTCTGCAGCCCACCCACATTCCGCAATTCACTGCTAGGCTCTGGAGGTAACTGTGATTTCACTCTCAAGTTCCTAACCTGCTTTTTGTAACATTATTCCTGATGAAGTGGTGTAGAAATCTCCAATCTAGAAATCTTGCCCATTTTTGAGATCAGTTGGTTGAGCTAATAAAGGTAGTCCATCGATATGGATTTTGGCATTCAGCTCAATTGCACAGCCCAGGTGTCTTTGTGACTGAGTGTGTGTGCGGGCTCAAGGATTGTCTGTTGCCTTCTACCCTGTTTCCCCAAAAATAAGCCCTAGCATGATTTTTCAGGATGCTTATAATATAAGCCCTACCCCAAAAATAAGCCCCAGTTAAGATCATCAGCCAGACGGACGCATTTAGTACGTCTGTTGCAACACAATTCGGGGTTTGGAGAGTTATGATGATGTTCCAGAAGAAGATGGCATGACTGTATTTGAATAAATGTAGATTCTTGTACATGAATAAATGTAGATTCTTGTACATGAAAAAAATAAGACATTACCTGAAAATAAGCCCCAGTGTGTCTTTTGGAGCAGAAATTAATATAAGGCCCAGTCTTATTTTCAGGGAAACACGGTAGTAGCAACAGGCCATTCCTTTGCCCTCTGCTGTACCTGAGCAGTAGAAACACACAAGCAGGCGAAAACTTGTGCTGAGCTGCCGTCACAAATTTCTACTACCATGCAAAGTAGTGGTGCCATAGGCAGCTGCTTTGGGTCACCCCATGGGAGCTTAGGCTGTAAGGATGCAGGACTGTCCTCGGACTAGCCCTCCAAAACTTCAACTCACATCAGCCCCAGCCAGCACAGGCAGCAGTATGGCATGATGAGATTTGTAGTTCAGAGCATCTGGAGCAGCACTCATTGGCTTTAGGATGTGATGCTGCCCAGCACAGTCTCATGATGCCGCTCTCAGCTGGCAGCTTGGCATGCAGTCCGGGTCCAAAGCCTGGAACAGAGGGCATAACCATCAGATCCCTCAGAACATCTATGTCTGTGGAGCTGCCAGGCATGCACGATCATGTGACAGGTTGTAAGACATTCCCTGGTGGGATGGAAAGGTTTGGCAGATGACTGGAAAACAGTCCAGCACTGGCCACATATTCAAAGCCATTCAACCTGGATCAGGACTACCCCAATGTGCTTGAAACAACTGGGTTCTTGAAAGGGAGGGTGCTTCTGAGTGAGGCTTTCATCATGCAACCGGCCGGCTTCAAACACAGAATTTTAAGGAGATTCAGACAACCACATCTGCCATTGGGAACCTTCCTGTGTTTTCCCACTGTTTAAACTTTCTGTTTTTATTCTTAGTCCAAAACATTCGTTTGGGAGCAAAAGGTGGATTGGCAAACCAATATCTTTTGACTGGAAATGCTAGGCGCTGTCTTTTCTGGAAGTACCCAGACTGAAAGGAGTTTGTTTCCACCCCCTTAGTGCAGGCTTCCACGTGAAATGGAGACTCTTTATGTTATGGAGAATCCTATGCATGTTAAGACAGGAAAAGACCCCACAGCTCTCCGCATACCCCAGCCAGCCGTGTTGCACCCTCAGCCACTCCAAATGCGGTGCCCCGTGCAGAAACTCACACTTCTTGTGCGTGCTAATAATTAACCTAGAACAAGTACTGGACAGATGGTTTGGACTACAACATGACGTGATGACACGTCATGACGTTATATTCAGTTATTTCCACTTAAAGTAGACCCATTGGATTTATTTATTTATTTATTTATTTATTTATTTATTTATTTATCAGCAGTGCTTATCTGTCACTTCTCATTTCAAACAAATCCAAAGCAGCTTACACAAGAATAAAAATGAAACAAAAGAGATTATATATAAGCACGCAAAGGGATATCATGAAGCTGCCGCAGTTCATAGCTGGGGAAAAGCCAAAGCAAATGCAGGTCTCCCATGGGCATCTCAGACAGACCACTGCTGAGGCCTGACACACCTCAGAGGGGAAATAATTTGCTAGGGTGAGTGCAGCTGCCAAGACCTGTCCCCGTTTCTGCCAGACGGAAGCTTGGTGGCTGCAGCACAAGAAACAGAGAGGCTGGTCACAGCCTCCATCTTCCACAGCCACGGTGTGGTTGGAGGTGTCTCCAAGCCAGACCACTCCAGTTCACATGAGACACTCACACAAACTCTGCTTTTGATTGAAATTGCCTTGTGTAATCTGAGCACATGACTTGACACCCTCAACGGGTTCCTTGCTGTGACAGCACATTGCAAGTGAACACTGATAGCGAGGTGGAGAAGTGGTCCTTCTGGGAAGCTCGCCTGTCCTTGATCTCACAAGAAAGGCAGTCTGGGGGGCATGTAACTGTTCCGTGACGGCGAATAATGGGCAGAAGTCTAGACCAGGACCCTGTGGGTGAAGTGGAGATTCAAATTAACATTAGGGGTTGAGAGAACAGAACCAACGCAGTCTGCACCAAGGTGACGCCCTTGTGCTCGGCGTTAATCCATCCTATCCATTCTGCCTTCCCTGCTCTAAATGATTTGGGATCCCTCCTGGCACTCCCTCTCTCCCTCTCCATTTTGATCACTTTCTAACCAACTTGGCTGTGAACATCAAGAGGAAATGTTAAAGGAGGGAAAAGCAACCCAGTCCTGTAATGCACCTTTGTGTTTAAGTCACAGGCAACTGAGAATTGCCTGCACAGGAGTGAGCAGGCCAGTAAAGTGTTCTGCAGGCTAGTAATTTTTGTAGGCTTTTTTTTACAAGGCTTCTGTAGCACTTGAAAGACTAATGCAGTTATTATTGCTTAAGCATCTTCTGCCAGCTGGCTGTGTGGGGGATACTGGGAGTTATAATCGAATACCCCTGGAGGGCCCCCTAGTTCATGAACACTGGCATAAGCTTTTTTTGACTGGAGCTTATTTATTCAGCTACAGACAAACATGCTGGCCCTTCTGAAAGGGTGGCAATCTCTCTCTTTGTGCACGTGTGTCTAATGTTTACAGAGGATAGGTTTTCATGGAGGGTGGGGGTTCCACTATGTCTCACCCTCAGGTTTCTCCTTAGGTGCTTTGCTTTCGTGGTACTGCCACCTCAGGTGCTTCCAGCGCAACTTCCTCCCTCCCTTGGAAAGTAAATCTGCAGGAAGCAATTCCGAGAAGCGGGAGCCATTCCAGGAGGATTAACGTCCAGTCCTGGCAAAGGGCAGTTCTGCGTATAGCGCTCGAAGCCATGGAAAGGAGCCCTTGCCGCTGATTCCCCCTTCTCTGTGGCAGACTACAACTCCCATGGCCTCTTGGGTAGGTGGGTGGGGGCGGAGTGAGCATGCCCAGCCTTTGCTTCCCCCTCCCCTGCCTGCCTGCCTGCCTCTCTCTTTCTCCTGCGTCCTCCCACCCTGCTCTGCTGCATCAGCACCAGCCTCTCTCCATCCTTCGAGCACCTTTCTCCTCCCAGCTTGGCTGAGCAAGGAAGCTCAGTTTATCTACGACTGCAATTACCAGTAACCTCCCTCTTCCCCCCCTCCACCCCAGTCTTCTCTTTCACCCCAAGGAAGAGGGGGGTCGTCACCTGCCACCGTGCCTGTCTGCTGTGCCACAGGGAGGGTGGGGGAGAAAACCCACTGAGGACCCGCAACCTCACGAGGAAGCGCAATGAAGGATCGCACCCAGGAGCTGAGAAGTGTAAGACGTATTTTTTTCTCTCTCTCCCCCCCTCTGCCTCGATCGCCAGTCTCCCCCCTCCCCGCTCCTCCGGCCCCGAAGAGAGAGAGGTGGGGAGGTTAGCAGTAACCAAGCAAGATGTTTCTTAGGTTCCCCCAGCGTCTCATTGCATAAAAACAATCCTTTTGTTGAATCATCACCAATAGCCAAAGGTTTGGTACTAAGCAAAGCAGCGTCTGTTTAAATTCCGCCCGTGGGGGCTGGGCGGGAGGGGCTCTGATAATTTAGGGGAAAGATGGGCTTCGATTGCCTCGGTGGGATCCGTCGATAAGGAGGGCTCTGATTTGCAAGGTGGGAGCGGGCAGGACCTGCCTTGAGGTGGGGGCTACCCGAGCCAAGGGAAGGCAGCCAGTTGCCTCTCCAGAAGGGTGGCATCTCTCCAGAGATGAGTGTCACATCCATGGTGCTGAGTGGCGGGGAACGGGAGGCTTTATTTGGCCTTTCCAGAGCCCCAAAAGGATGCAGGGTGGGAGGAGGTTTTGAGTAATGGATGTGTGAAGGCAGATTTGGTTTGTGAGGAGTAGAAGGACCTACAATTGCATGTTCTCAATCAGCTCCTGCAGCCAGTGCATATCTGTGGAACTGTGTGTGTGGGTGGGGGGGGAATCACATTTTTATAGGTCATCCACTCCTTAAACAAGAGGGAATGTTGGGAACAAAGGGAAAAACCTGTAAAGCCTCATTTTTTTCAGGAAGTATGTGAGTTGAAGCGGGGGGGGGGGAGAGCAAGAACTTTTTTCCCTCCTCCCCCTTCTATCAGCTTATTGGGAGAAGGGTTGATAAATTCTCTCCCCTCCCCCTCCTATTTGGGGATGGCTGAAGGTTGAGTCCAATTGGATGAGAAAGATGCTGTTTCAAGGAGAAGGGCTTTGGGGGCAGAAAAAGGCAGGGGGTGTCTTAAATACCCCAGTGTGTTAATGTTGTGTTTTGATTACCTTGCAGTGATCATTCATTCATAGGTAACAGAGAGGTCTAAGCGAAGGCCGTTTAAATAATTTCCAGGAGCCCCATTCCAGCCCTGGTATGTCTCCCTACACCTGCACATCTCCTGACCCTCATTCCAGTTAAGCCTACAGACACACAGCAAGCCTCTGTCTCTAGCCTCCTTCTCCTGCCCCCCTCCCTTCCCCCCCCCCCCCCCCCCGCCCAGTCTGCCCACCCCAGGGGAACGGGCTCATTCATATAAAATGTTGGCTGGCTGTTTGTAAAGCAGGAGAAAATGCGGGGTGGGCAGGTGGGGAGCAGGTCTTCTGTGATCACGGTAGGAGGTGAGTGATGAGACAGGAAGAAGCCACTTTCTCAAAGCCATCTCATTTCTTGTAGCTCTCAAAATAGGGTTTTTAGTGATCTGTAGAAATAAAACAAGTTTTCATTCCATTTGCCAAAGGGACAACAGCAGCAAACTCTAAATCAGATCAAACTCACAATCACCTTTTCTCCGCAATGAGTAATTTAGGACAGCCCCTGCTTTTACATGTTCTGGTCCGTTCAGGATCAACTCGTGTGTTTGCTCTGTGCGTTTCAGTGTCTTTTGCGTGAATATAAAGAAATAGCTGCTTTGTAGCGCATGTGTCTGAGGCAGGGAGGAGAAGAGAGCATTCACTCGGTGTGTTTGGATGTAAGAGAAATAATTGGTGCTGCATATTCTTTTCTCTGAATTTCTTCAACATTGACTTTTCTCCAATGGAATAAACAAATCTTTGCAGGGGTGAGAGTTCAGGGTGTTCAGCCTTCTTTCCCCCAGATGGTTTGGGGTTCTTGTGTGACCACTTTCCAGGAACTCAGAAAGAAATACAAAGCAACTACCCTGCAGAACATGTTAATTGCAACTCTAATGCAATAATTCTGTGACCTTTCCCAGGGCTGGTAGAATTCCACCCCATTTCCCCCTCTTTGAGTTCGTGCATTTCTTATCAGACTGGAGAAGAGACTGCAAGAGAGTGAAAGAGCGTCTAATCACCATTCCATATGCTTCCGTCTGCAGAGACAAGAGATATGAGCTATTTCTTCCAATTTCTTTTTTTAAACAATGGGGGAGGGGGAGGGCAGATGCAGTGGCAATAACCGAATCCTGGTGAGATTGATATATATATATATCCGCAGCTCCTCCCCCTCCTCCTTTCACCCTCCCCTTTATTCTGCATGGATAAGAAACAGACAGAAAATTGTTGTTCTGCATGCGGACTCCAGTGCTGGGAATATCTTCAGTGAACGCTTACATGGGGTGATGGTGGCGTGCTCCACTTCAGAGCTGCTGAAGGCAAATAATAATAATAAAACAACTCATCTCTCCCCCTGTGCGCGCACACACACACACACACACACACACACACACAAAATCTGTTTGCCAGCGGGCAGAGAATGGGGCTTCAGCATTCCTGCCTATCTTTCTGGCCGGGCAAGAGAAAATGGCATTTGCTTTATCGTTGGCGCATTGTGCGTGGGGGGGGGGGGGGGGGGGGGGGGGGGGGGGGTTTTTGTGGGGGGGGGGGTTGGTGCGGGGGCGAAAGGGGTGTGTGTGTGTGTGTGTGTGTGTGTGTGTCTTCTCTCTCCCTTATTTCCCCCAACCTCTCCACAGTGTAGATAGTATTGGCAGCTCAATGCAACAGAATAAAGACTTGCACAAATGCACAGAGACCGAAGTGCGGGGTGGGGGTGGAGGAACAGTTATAAAAGCTCGTGTGTTGGCAGAAGGGGAGGGGGGTGTTAATTCCAGACGTGGCGGCAGTCAGTCCACAGCGGCGGGGAGCGGGGGGAGGCGGGCAGGAAGCCCTCGCACTCCTTAGGCACCCTGTGTGTGCGAGCTTGCAAAATCCTGCAATCTTGAGTCAGACTGCAAAACCCACAGAAGTGGAGGAAAGACTCTTTTGCAAACCCGACGTGCCAGAGGGGTGCGGGGTGGGGAACATGGCCCCTCACTTGCAAGCCTGGTTTTGTTTATCTCTTCTCTGCCATTGCAGCCCACCCAGACTCCAGCAGGGGAGCAAAGGCACAGCAAAGCGTGATCCAATAGATAAATCATAACCGGTGCTCTGTTTCTCTTTTTCCTGCAACACCACAGCCAGTAAAAGCCGATGGAGATGTGTTGCTTGCTTGTTTTTTGCTTTTCTTAAGCAGGGGAGAAGGGAGAGGAAGGAGTCTTTAGTGATCCTGTGAAGGTGCGCAAGTTCAGGCTTTGGAGAATCGCTGAGGAAAGGGAGTCCCACGGTTGTAGGGCAGGCAGCCATGGGTCCTTCGTGGTTTCACTTATAGTGGGGTGGAATGGCATGGGCAGGAGCTGGCAGTAGCTTCAGGACTCGCTGCCCCCCAGAAAGAAGGGAGCCAGTCTGCATCTGCTTGCCCAGAGGCTTATAAAACAGGTGCCACACGTGGCTCCTTGCACTGCAGCTCCTTGTTAAGTGTCGGCAGCGTTGGAGGCACAATCTGGAGCATGCTCTGGAGCAGAGGCTGGCGGTGTGCATTAAATGGATGCAGCTGGGCGAGAGAGTAGTTCGGAGATTGAAATGTGAGGAGGGAGGGAGGCAGAGGGGGAGAATCAGGTGGCAGGTGCACTTGCAGGTAAGCTGAGATTTTGTTGAAGGTCTTGAGGAGGGACATGTAGGAAAGAGGGTCAAGAAGCTGTCCTAGAGTGGGGCAGAAATCTCACCAAAGGCAGTCCTGCTCAGAGTTAAAACTGCGGAAGGGCATAAGAAGGAAGACTGGCCAATGGCTGAATGCGTGGTTTATTTTTCTTTTATTTAACGGACATTCAGAAGTGTGTGACGCAGGCATTACAGTGTTGGACTGGGACTTGAAGATCTGGGTTCTGGTCCCCATTCAGTCATGAAGCTCACTGGGTGACTTTGGGCCAGTCACAGACTTTCAGCTTAACCTACCTCACAGGGTCGTTGTTGTAAGGATTAAATGGAGAGAGGTTAACTTTGTAAGCTGCTTTGGGTTCCTTGCAAGAAGAAGAAAAGTGGGTATAATGTAATGTGGTGATGAAGAATATACCCCCTCGTTTTCTTTACTGATTATAAAGTCAAAGGAGCTCACAGTTAAAACAGAAGGAGCAAAAGGCAGCCCAAAATTACAAAATACCAGATTGATAATTAAATATAGGAATGCCAGCTCAACCAGGAGAGAAGCACAGTCCCCATAACAGGAGCAACAGTGGCATTGTATGGTTGGCAGGCTAAAAATTCTGGCAAGTGTGTAGCCGTTTTTTTCTGGGGCCTGGAAGTGGTCCGTGTCTCATCGCTCTGGGGGGCAGATGCCCCTAAGGTGCTGCTCCTAAGAGCTGCCCACCCCAAGCTGCATTTGGCAAAGGCCCGACGATGCTGAATGTGGACATTTGGCAGAAGGCAGTCCAAGAGATATCAGCTCCAGGTCATTTGGGGCTTTAAAGGTCAGAACTCACACCTTAAATTGAGTCCGGAAACAAACAGTGCTGATGGAATAAGATCGGTGTCGTAGCATATGCTCCCTTTCGCCAGCTCTGTCCAGTAATCTAGAAATGGCATTTCTGTGCGGGCTGAAACATCTTCATCATCGTTGTCACCTCCTCTACCACCGCCGCCTCTTGGAGCCCCATGTAGAGTGGGATGCAGTAGTCCAGCCTGGGGGAGGGTCCTGGGGCAGAGGTGTCTGCAGCAATGTACACAGAGAGGGCCGGAGTTCGTGAAAAGCACTGCTAAGCAGCACTGCCCCCTCTCAAAATTTAACTCTGATCTTTTAACGTATTGCCAATTTCTGCTCAATAGCATTATCTTCCTGAACTTTCAGAATAAGGACTAGCACCTTGAAGAATCCAGAGGTGTGATAAGGAATAAATACCAAAGGGGTGGCGCAGCAGGGTGGGGGTTGCTTTATGTATTCTGATTTTAAAAGCAACAAATGACTAGTGTGAGCAAGGAGGGACCCAGGAAGGAAGGAAGGAATTATTGAGTTTAGTATATTAGCTAACGGGAGTTGGTGAAGCA